CAACACGAGCTCATTGCATGAGGTTGAATCTAAATGCACAACCTGCAAAACAGCATGATCATATGTATGTTATATGATATATATATATATATATGTATATATATATATATGTGTATATATATATGCAAATATACCTTAGATGTGTTGTAGAGAACAACCGTCCCGCAGGATCCAAAGGTCCGCGCTGGTGCTGGCTTTCCTGCTTTGGCTGCTGTACCCCAGAGACATGAAGCTGCGATGCGCGGGCCCCGGCGAAGATTCGCGAAGATTCGGAAGCGAAGATTTAGGCCCTGAGGCGGCCTGATGTAGTCTACCTGGAGTCTCCTTCTGACCCTTTAGAAATGGTTGGCCATTGCGCAATATAATGGGGTCATGGACCCATTTTTAAAGGGTGATGGAGACTCCAGGTACAGATGAACCCCAGGGCTGCGGAATCATTCGGGGTGCATCCCCACGCTCTGTGATACAAGGGCATCCCCTCTTCGTATGGGGGGTTTCGTCTTAGGGAGGCCCTTTTTGTTGTAGAAGAGGATTCCATTTCAACCACAAAACTGATTAACCCAAATGCCAAGTGGTGCTCAGTTGCCAAGGCGTCCTTTAAACGCAACCATCCAAAAAGAATGACCTTTGTTACCCGTGGCCGCTGGGCATTTGAGTTATATAACATGGAAATCAAAAAGCCGGTCCGTTTCCCAAGAAAGGCGTTTCCTCCAATGGCGGTTTCTTGGGTTCCATGTAAATCTGGGGAGTACGGCTCATCAAGACTCTCAAGACCCCATTTGTTGGGGCAGGGGGGATTGCTAGTTTGTATTGGCAATCAGGTGTGTTTTCTTTCAACAATGTAGGGTCATCTAGTCCGCCATTTTTTCAGCAAGTGTGTTCTTACTCATTTCATGGGTAGATATGCACGATGTGTTTCAATTGTTCCAGGGTTGCAAGACAAGAAATCTGAACACAAACACCAATCCTAGACCCGCCGTATGATTCAACACTTGAGTTCACATGTTGGATGGACATCGCAATGCGCTGGGATTGATGAACACACATCTGGGTGTTTAATTGAACTAGAACCCCCTTCCCCCCAAAAAAACAACAACGAGAATTTGTACCCTTCGTTTCCCGAGATGCCGGTGAACCTTGCCCATCCCATGACTTTGGTCAAGGAATGGCCTGGGGCCCCGGTTCCTTTTTGGCCCTGGCTCGTGCCGGTTTCCGTAGTGGGATTTTTCAAACTCAAAAGGGCCCCCTTTAAAGTTGTCAGAAGGGGCAAGCGACTCGCAAAGAGGTTGCTCATGTTGCCGAGGTACTCTATTTGCGAAGACTCGAAGGGATGCTTGGATAGTAGAAATCAGAAAGCCGAAGCTTGAGACCAAAAGGATGGGCCCTTTTCGGTGCAAGGCGCCGCCCTGAGAATTGGGGACGCCAAAAAGGACCCCTAATTCTGAACACCCCGCCCCATGGTGTTGATGGTGAAACAAGTGTTTTGACCGTCCCATTTTTTTTTGCAAGGTTGTCTCATTGGGTGCCACTCTCCGTTTGCGGTTTTGGTGTTCTTTGGCCTCTCTTGCTCTCATACACCTTCCTGGAGTCTCCTTCTGACCCTGAACAAATGGGTCCAACCCCATTAGTTTGGGCAATAACCAACCCTTCAGGGTCAGAAGGAGACTCCAGCTTGAAGAGCTCATCTCTTTCACCTCGACCGCCTCGGAGAGCCCCCGACTTAATTCCCACCGGTGGTAAAAGGTGGCAAAACGTCCCGGAGAAATTGGACAAAACATTGCCTGAAAGAAAACTGCCCTTTGACTTCTCGGCCAGTTTTCGGTAGACTCCTCAACTTCCAGGTTTGATTGAAGAATATGGGATGCGGTATGCCGCTTTTGGGCTAGAGGAAACCAAGCTTGGGGGCTCCCCTTGTAAACCACAGGGGGGATGTGAGTAATTGCCAGTTTTGATTGTCTCTTGCTTTGGGGTGAACTCAAAAAGGACACCAAAGGAAATCACATAAATGCGTATACCAAAGAATGATTAAAGGACGCCTCCCGTTTTCCCCAAAGGAACTTTCACATTCATCCCTTCCGGGGAACGCCGAACGCCTCCTGACGGTTCCGTCCTTAGGCCTGGCGCTGTCATTGGCCTATAGCTTCACCGAGCGCGGCTTCACCTTCTTCGAGCGCCAGGTGGCCTATACCAGCCTGGCGCAGTTCCTGGCCAACCTGCTCTACATGCCCGTGCTGGTGGATCTGCGCCTCGCCTTCGGTGCGCGAATAGGGGTTGATCTATCTTGGTCAACACTGGGGAACGGTTTTTCCCATGTGGTTGAAAGATCGCATCTTTCTAGTGGGTTTGCCAACCCCTCGTGGACCGGACCTTTGGATTAATCCTCATGTGGTCAGGGAACTAGTTGGATTTGGAATTCAACGTGTCCCTGGCTCAACCCCCTCACCAGGCTCACCGATTCGGCTCCAAACCGGCCAGACGGAAGCTGATAACCAGGCGATTTTCCAGAAGGAAGCCCCCAAAAACCCCTTCAAATGGAAGACTTGGGTTCCATGTGCACTGACGCCAATTGGGGGAGCTTCCACGCTAGTCTGAGGGAGCTTCCATGTTGATCTGAGGCTTTTAGGAGGGTTATTACCCTGTTTGGGATTTGGTCGAAAGGGAATCGAAGGTGTCTCATTTGTTGGGGTTCCCCTATTCGAGACAAACCCATACCGTTTCATATTTCTCCCTATTTGATAAGGGCGGTGTTTTTTTTGTTTTGTTTTTTTTTGTTGGGGGCGGGGGGGGGGGGGAGGGGTGGTTGGGAAGATTGCGTACAATACGGCGCAGTGTGTTGCGCCAAGGTTGCGGTACGCAAACCGTGCAACACACACACACACAAAGGCACAAAGGCACAAAGGCACGTAGGCACATGCGCACAGACACAGGATAGACGCAATCCCGGGCATATGCGTCTTTTTTTATGCTCCGCCGCACGCTCTCATTTGGTGCGCACACTGCAGAAAAAGATTTATGGTTGGGCCGGGAAGGTTGCTGCAACAAACAACAAACATCCTCCCAGACATTTTGCTTGAGCAGCCTGAATGGCCCAACCACATCGGCGGCTGCAGAAGGCTGCGAAAAGATTGCCACACCAGCATTGCTAGGTCATGAACATCTCTCGGCATCGCAAGAACAAAACTGTGTGTGAGCTAAATATATCCAGCCACCCACATATCTTACCAGCGTGACCTGTTACATCTCGTGCAAATGTGCGATGTGAAGCTGTGAGCCACACAAGGAAGCCAGAGAGCGCCAGCTACGCAAACGCTTTAACAAGAGGCAATTCCCCTACAGAGCGTGCAGAAGCTGACTTTTGATTTGCCAGAGACAAGAGGCAATTCCCCTACAAAGCGTGCAGAGGCTGACTTCCCATGTGCCCCAAAGAGAGACAATTGCATAGAAATTCTTCTTGTTCTTAGTGTTGTCCTGGCAGCGTCAAGAACATAGCCGTCAAGTGCTTGGTGCAGTTCTTGACCCGTTTAGCTTGGCGCGTGCGAGGCGGGCCTGCGGAAGCGCACTCCTGCTGCGCTTGCCCCTGGCGCCCGCTCCAAGGTGAATGGAGTGCGCTTCCGCATGCCTGCCGCAGGTCGCTTTAGACCTCGGGCAGCTTGAATGGCCTCCTGTTCCATCTGCCGCTGAGCAGCCAGGGGCAAACTACAACGCCCTACCGCCCCGCTTGCGTGCTGCTCAGCCACCCACGATGACCACATCCTCGTTGTCCACAAGGGCGTCCCCACCCGTCGCGCTAAGACATGCCCAGCCGGCATTTGCTTGGCGGTGGGGCTGTGTAGAGCAACGTGGTGGGGCAAGAGCTTGGCCAAGTGCAAGATGTTGAGCTTAAGCTGCAGAGTGCTACGATGCAGCTGCTGGACCTGGCGAAAGGCTGCGTTAAGCTCCGCATGCAAGGCCTCATTCCCCGTGGTGCCAGACGGAAGCAGCACTAGCGCAGCCGACGTCATGGACGTCCGGAGCCGCAAGTTGTTGAAGAGCCACTCGAGCCGATCAGCGGCCGTGAGGTGATAGAGAATTTTGCCCACCGTCTCCCGGGTACCTTCGATCTTGCGCTCCAGGTCCTTGGAGTGCTCCCGCGCCAGAGCAGCCACGGCCTCGATGAACTGAATCCGTGTAGGCCAGGCAGACAGCCCGTCCACCGAGGCCAAGACGTGCCGAGCCCGCCGCAGCCCCAGCGTGCCCTTGATGATGTGCTCCCGTAGGGCGTTCTCCGGGGCACTTAGCCGCGCCGGCAGCGAGCCGTCGTAGGGCGCCCCCCAAATGTTAACAGCCAGCGCGTTGTCCCTCGGGCAGAACTTGGCCAAGAATTTCCGCAGAAGTGCTGACCCAGCTGTCTTCCGGCCGTTGGTAGCTTGCTCGTAGTGCATGGCGGCGTGCGTTCCATCAAGCACCAGCGCCTGAAGATTTGGTAGAACTGCTTGGAGCTGCCCCATCAGCTTCGCAGAGGGGCAGTCGGACGCCACATACTTGACACGCTGCAGGGCTTCTGCTGGAAGAGCATCCACGACACACGAAACAATATGCTCTGCGCGTTCTCCGATGGCAGGCGCCAAGCCCAGCACTGCCCCGCTCCTGCCCCGGATAGTGATGACACGCCGGAAGCTATCTTCGTCTGTGAATGGCTGCGCTGCTCGTTCAGCGGCTGGTGCGTTGAAGGAAGCTTGGCCCATCAGCATCATGCAAGCTCGGAATGTGCCATCTATAGATAAATACTCATACTCGCCGTGCTTATTCGCAGTGCTTAGAAGGTTCTGCTTCAAGGCGACACACGCAGGCGATCGGAGGATATCTTCCACCAACGGCCACCAAGTCGCAGTGTGGCCGGGCAGCAAGTTGGTCAGCACGTTACCAGCGCTGACTGAATCAAGCATGAGACGTGGCCAGACTGTCTTCACCTCAGGGATGCGTGGGATATAGTTCGTGCGAAATTAACATCGATCTAGTTGCTACTCCGGTCCAGCCTTGGCGTGCTGCAGCAAGATCTCCTGGAAGAGGCGCTCTGCGAAGGCGCGGGTGTACCAGATCTTGCCGACCCTGCGAGCGATAGTGCCCTTGGCTAGGACGGCCACGTTCATGAGTGTCGGGCCTCCGGCATCGAGCACCAATCGGAAGCCTCGATCAATGTTGTTGTTCTTGATGGGAAGCCCAGGCTTCACAAGCTCGCGGATCACCTTCGCGCTTCTTTCCAGGTACCGGCCACCACGGCTCTCAGCCAGCATGTCCGTGTCGTGGATGGAGAGCAGCACCCGCAACTGCTTTGTTCCAGAACAGCAGAACCGCTGCTTCTCGGTGTGGTAGCGTCGGAGGTGCTGAGCCACGCGCGAGCAATCGCGGAAAGCTCGAAAGGGGCAAGCCGGGCAGCGGTACATTCCGCCCACGCATTTCAGGGACCCGCGCCCTGCCCGGGCGATGCATGTCAGCACCTCTTGGCGCAATTCTTGCAAAAGCAACGCGTCCACCGTCACCACACCGTCAGCATCCAGCCAATCAACGCCCGTCTCCTCGCCAGCATCTTGCCCCAACCCCATCCGGTCGACATCCATCGAAAAATCCACTTCTCCCACGGCGCCCGCAGCCATGTCCAGGAGCTGAGAGACTTCTGCTTCAGAAACGGCCAAGAAAAGACCGTCCGCAGGCTGCTCCAGCAAATAAAAGACGCAGGTCTTGCTATCCACTCCATCGGAAAGGCATCGCCGGAAAGCAGAGTCTGACAAATGAAGTGCGCAGTCAGTGTCCCACACGGTCACTTCGAAGGCTCCTCGGACCTCACGCCTATGCACTGCCACACAATGCGGACTGCCATCGTTCTCAGCATGCAGAAGAAATTTTCCGACCGGCAAGGCGTCGATGAACACAACCGGATGCAGAAGACACCCAAAGGCCGCCGAGCATTGCTGGTAGGTGCGACAGCCCCGCTGCTCCATGTACACATTCATCTGCTCTGTGGTGGCATCCAATTTGCTCTTGCCCTCCTCTGACAAAGAGTCCAGGCACGCGAGTGCGTGAGGGATACAGTTGCCTGATGTAGTCAATGTGGTGCCAGCCTCAAACCGCGGAGGGCCCTGGCGTGTGGCAGCACCCCGCAGCAAGGCCATGACAGCTGCGTGGTTTTTTTCTCGGATCCGCAGCTTGAAAATGGTCTTGCTCGCAATGGCCTCCTGACACTTTGCACTTAAGGCCGTTGCATCTCCGTGCTCTGAGGCAGAGACCCGTACCCCGTCAAAATGCAAGGACAGGTGAGTAGGTGTGACTTCAGCCGAAAGAAACCGGATCCATTCTGAGAGCACAACGTCCTCGCAAGCCATGTACAGATGCGAAAGCGCTGATGCTTCAGGGTTTTTCTTGCTAGGGTCTGCGCAAAAAGCCTCGTACTCGGCAGGCAGGAGCGAGACCGCTACCCAGCGGCAATAGATAGATGCCCTTTGTAAATTTTGTAGAAACTCCTGGCCGTCGCAGCTTGGAGGGATGGTACCTCCGTGCAACACAGACGTCAACAGATGCTTCCCCTCATCCTTGGTCATCTTCAAGACCTCGCCGATGACATGGTGCCGCCGCTCTGCGCAGTCGGCCAACGCCGCTGCCGCTTTTGCGGGCATGGCTGGCTTGGGGCCCAGCTCCTGCAGCAATTGGTGCAGCATGGCAAACACACTATTCTCGATGTCAAGGTCCCATGTGCCGCGCAGCAGATGCATTTGGGCCCTTCGAGGGAACTTCTGCGCCCCCACCCCAGTGACATACTTCCTGCTTCGCACGCTCTCGGGACCGCTGTAGTGATAGCTGCACTGTCTGGTAGCTCTCCCTACTTCCTCGGCCTCTGTTCTAGCACCCTCGGTCTTGACGTGGAGGCGCCGTCTCTTCGCGCTGATTTCACTCAGTGTATCCAGCAGGTCATCTCCGTTCTTCTCTGCGTCCTCTATTTTTTGCGCCCTCTCAAGGACAGCCTCCCTCTGCCGCTGTGCGTCGGCTGTGGCACGGCCGCGCCCAGCGCGCTTGCTGTTGCCAAGCGCCTTCAGAACCTTGGCTAGCACTGTCGCGTTTTCTTTTCGGAAAGGCCGGCCAAGCATGTACTGGGTGAAGGCCGTAATGTTGTACTCCTCGGGAAGCTTCACTTCACTGTCTCTGGACTTGTAGTCTATGAGATCGCTGAGTGTTTTCTGACAGCGTATGACCGGTATGTAGGCCACCTCTGCGCGTGTCTTCCCTGTGGCCTGGCGGACCAGCTGCAACTGAAGCAAGCCATCCAGAATAGCCTCCTTCGAAACATTCGGCCCGTCTTTGTACTTCATATCGCGGATGCTGTGTCGCGTAGCTTGCAGTCGTCTTTTGTCCAGCATGTGCTCAACAAGGGTGTTGTGAAGCTGCTGCCACTGCTCGTCGGCTCCCTTGACTTCCTCCACATCCTCAACATTGATGACGGCCGCCGCTCTGCTTGTTGCGTGCCGCAAGTCTCGAGGAGGAAGCCCGCACGCTTCCAGCATCGTAGTTTCAGTGAGGCCAAAGTCGCCGCCCCACACCACGTAATCTTCAATTAGGTCGATGCATTGCTGTTTGGAGTACTGAGTCTCGAATGCGTGCTGCAGCTGAAGGCCAGCTGCCACGGCCGGGGCTGAGCGCAAGAAATCGGCAAGATCCGAATCTTTTGGGAAGACACCATCCCGGAAAATATCTTCGTAGGCGGCCGCGAGCGCTTGTGGGTCCTCAAATCGAGCCTTCACCCGCCACACCAGCGATCTGCGGAGGATGGCATTGAAGTCCTTCCTTCCCACGTCGGCGAACGGGAACATGCGGTTTGCCTCCAACCGCTTCCAGCCGACACAGTTGATCATCCGTGTCTTAAAGCCGTATGGCTTCCGCCCGGCAATGCCATCCCCGCTCACAAACTTTTTGTAGAGGTCTTCCCTCAGCTTTCTTCCCGTGGCGGGTGTCTCTTGCCCTGTCAAAATACAGCACCCGTTCAACTGCTCGACCTGCTTTCTCATCTCCTCATCATGAAACCAGATGTTGGGATCAAAGAAAGCAAAGTTGTGCGCATATATGGCTTGCAGGTGCGTCGAATAGAGTGACTGTCCGACACCACCGCTAGAGAGCCCGATGAACAAGCGAACCACGTTGATCCCCCTTTTTGCTAAGGCCTGCGCTGCCTGACCGCATTTGAACACCGGCAAATTCCCCCAGAATGTCTGCATGTAGAATTTTTGCAGTCGCTCAGCAATATGGGGAGGGACGGTGTAGCGGAGAGCATGCGGAATGCGCAAATAGCAATCTTCGAGCTGCATTCGCAGAACTTGTCGGGCTGGCACGAGTTCGTCATCGTACATGATAGAGCAATCCTCGTAGCTGACTGAAGGACAGGGAGTCTTTGGAGTGTCGCACCATTCACTCATGTAGTGCAGGAGCTTGTCCTCGGTGATCTCTCTAGTCAATTGCTTCTTCACAGCCAGGATTGTCTTCGCGGTGGCCAGGGTCCAGGCCACAGCTGGCTCGCCAGGACGTTCTTCCTCCTCGGCACCCCTTCCAAAGCCTCTGCGGCCTGGCTCAGTGTGCGCATCCAAAGCCGCGTTCACACAAGCCTCCAAAAACTCGGTCTCGTTCTTCTCATTTGATTCCCAGAGTGCCATCACGGCAGTGGTCAGGCTCTGCGAGGTTCGGCTTACTGTTTTCGGAAGAAGCCTGTAAACGCCCTCCAACTGCAGCATGAAGGTCTGCACCCTGCCGTTGTCGGGCGGAACTCCCTTGTGCTGCTGGAAGGCTCCCGAAGCAGTGCGCATATAGCAGTCACCGTTGTGAAATCGGAGGCTGCGACGCCCTTCAGCAATCCAGTAGATTTGTGCGTGCTCGCGCAAGTGGATGTCGGCTTGCCGCACACGTCCGAAAGCCAGAGCGCCGACACACAAGCGGATGAGCGAGTCGGAAGCCTCTGCCCAGCGACTCTGCACGTACTCCGACCAGTGCCGCACCATCTCCGTGATAGTGTCGGAGGCATCAATGGGTTCAGGCTGACCATGGGTCTGGAAGACTGTGTTCATGTCAGCGAGCTGACGAAACAGACCAGTAAAGTCCGCATCCGACGTCGCCGCTCCTGGCATAAGGCGGCGTTGCCTTAGTTTCCGCCATGCCTGTTCTGCTGCTGCATCATTGCCCAATAGATCAAGCCCATCGTCGTCCTCTTTTTTCACGCCCTCCTGTGACATTGGAGGGAGTGCGTTGGAAGCCGCGGCCACTGCCCCTTCGGCACGCGGCCTGTCTGCTGGGCGGGGCTGTGATTTTGCCGCTGTTCGAGGGCTTGTCGACATTCGTGCTGTCGCCGCGACATCCTCCCCAGGCGCTGCCTCACCTACTGCTGGAAAGAACTCTTGAGATGTCTCCTCCGCCGCCCCACCACACACATCCTTCTGCGAGGCTGTAAGAGAGAAAGCCCTTGTTGAGCATATGCATGGAAGCTTCTCAGGGCCAGGAACAACCCAGAAACCATCATGATCCTGCCCAAGAAAGGAAGCAATTCGGATAGATGTAGGCCCGCACAGAACGCGCGCAGCTCGAAGGTTTGTCTTCAAGCCAAACAAATCGACACAGCCGACAACATCCTCGTGGAGCGATGAGAGCAAGGCAGGGCGGGCACCGCCGCGCGCGTCTTTCTGCTTTAGGCGCTGGCGCTGCTGGGCCATGATGGCGTCCACTTCGGCCATCATATCGGGCACGTGATCTAGCCACGGCTGACCACCGTGTTCCGGATGCAGACAAACCACGAACATCCCGGACACACGCACACTATAGTACATCTCCAGAATGCGCTTGTAGATGTTTAGCTGCAGCCGGTACTTCACACCAGTAGCATCAGGAAGATGACCCAGAGGAGGCTTCATGCAGGCGAAACGATTCTCAAACTTGTCTGGCAGACCCTTGGTCCTCTTCCAGTCAAACAGAACGAGGTCGCCCTGCGCATCCTGTGCAACGAAGTCAATGGAGCCTGCAATCTTCTCAGCCGAAGCCCAGATACACCACTCCGTGCGGTAGGCAATGAGAGGCTGCGTGCTGCGCAGGAAGGCATTGAAGCTTCGCATCTCCTCTGACACACCCGTCACTGTGCCCCCGTTGAGGACGCACTCGCACAGCAAGTGCACCCACGTGCCGGCTGCAGCTGCGGTTTCCCCATTTTCTCTCCAATGCACCTTGATCTCCTCAGGAGTCATGACAAGCTGCTGGAGAAGAGATGCAGCTGTCTCGTCGCACTTGTAGAGCGTGTTCCGGAGGACGACGGAAACCTGCTGCTGTGTGGTGGCAGGGGCTTGTAGAATGCGTGCGACTTCCTCCAGCCCTGGCATCGCAGCGATCCTTATCTGGAGAGACTCATCCTGAAGATTCTTCATGTATCCTTCCCGAGGCCAGCGATGTCCGGCCATCATCTTCTGGATGATCCGATCTGCATCAAACTCCTACCATCCGCAGGGAAAGCAATTGCCCGAAACCCCTACAAGCCGCACAACCACCGAAGCACCCCAGCCTCAGAGAACTTCGCAATGAGCGATGTGACAGAGCAGTCCATTTCTGCATCATGCACGTAGTACTTGTGCCCGTCTTGCTGGAATCGAATAGCAGCATCCAGTTCGTGGGGGTGGCAGCGGCGCAGCCACGTGAACTCGGGGGACACCTCCTGGCCGGTAGGATGGACCGGCAATGCGACGATGCCCTCATCTAAAGGCAGCAGAGGTATGCGCACGCCCTGCGCCGGTGAGCCTGCGACTCCAAAACATTGTAGAGTCATTGGTGGCATGGCCAAGTTCCAAGAGTGTGCGAAGCTGCACGTAGAAGAAGAGCTGTGCTCCTCCACGTCTTGAGTCGTCTTGCGCTTCCGCTCAAGCACCCGCGCTCGGTTGCGACACACTTGTAGCCAGTCAGCTGGGCTCTGCAGAGCAGTGCTTGCGCTGCCCTCTCCAGCCAAACTGCTCGGCGTTGCACTGGACTCCAGCATCTTCTCAACTACTGGAATCTCCGAGCTCGCACCGCCCAAGACATCTGTCTCTTGCTCGCAAAAGGAAATGGACAGCTCCTTCAGCTGGAAAGCGGCTTCCATCGCACGTAGCAGAAGAGGTAGTTTCACATCGGCGCAGCCAACATGACGCTTGCAGGTGGTACGCCACATATTCGTGCCATCTGCGCGCACCTCTAGGGACATGAAATGCTTGGCTCGGAAAAGAACGTACTTGCCGGGCATGGCACAGTCCTTCACGTCGACACTTCGTAAACATTTCCTCAGGTGCACATACTACATGAACACGTTGTCCCATAATTCTTTAGACGCATGCCCTCTGCTGGCAAGAGGCCCGTGCGGACGCAGAAACTTATTGCCATCTGTCAAGGCCCAGAAGGGGCCGTCATCTTGATACGACAGCTGGACTCCCAACGACCTCAACGCATCAATCAAGCAAACATCTTGCTTGCGATCCCGCGCGGTCTCCTCGTCGGGCCTGTCCGGGCGAAAAAAAAAGAGGGCTGGACAACACTTCGGCTGAACTTCCCGCCTGGCCGCAATCCTTGGCACGCTGATAGCTGCCTGCTTCTGCGCCATCTGCTCGTACTCCCGACGCAGAATCTCCTGATACTCTTCGATGATCTCATGAAACTCCCTGTCCTCCTTCGCTCGCATCCACAACCGGTGCCGCTGCAGCTGCCGGCTATGCGTCCACAAGACATGATCCCAGTAGTACTTCTCGCGCAGCCTCTTGCGCTGACGGCGCGTGAGCTCCACCAAATTGAGCCGCGTGTCCTTCCCCGCGACGCAAGACACCTCTGCATAATCCTCCGGCAAGACCGGCTTCTTGCCATCCTTGTTCGGCTCGCTGCCACTGCCGTGGGATCCGCAATACCACTTGCTCCGGGGAATCTTCCGCCAAGACACATCATCGGACACCGTCATGTGCGTAGTGGTGAGCGCACGACGCATGATGCCGTAGACCAGGCCATCACCTAGGGCTGAACTAGTACCCTTTGTGTAACAAAGCTTCTCATGCAATCCAGGTACACCAGCGGTCCTCCACTCCCAGCCAGTTGCTGCCTAACACGACAAGACAAGCACAGTGACCAACCAGGTTTCCACAACCTACCTTCTCGCTATCGGCCCGCCTCCGTCATACAGGGCTGGACAGGAAGTGTGGCGCACGAATGTCGCCGCGAATCCGCAGTTCTTCCCTGGCCAGCACCGTTGCACGGTAGCACTAGGAGGACAGTGCTCAGTTCATGTGTACACCAGATCAAAAGCAAGAACTTGCCAAAGTGTCAGCGCCATCCCTCGTAGTGCTCGACGAAGCGCTGATACTCGCGCTCAAGCCTTTCGAGAATGCAAGGTGCGAAGTAGTCACCTGAAGCGGGCAGCCGCACGTGTGCATCGGCAATGTCAATGCATGCTTATGTGACCATCTGTGCTCGAGCTCTGCACTCCGTCCCATGATCACAACCTCACAGACGTGCTCGTGAAGAAGCCGCTCGCAAATTTCCCGCATGTACCAGTCGCCTTGGTCTATGCACTAACTTATTAGGTGATCCGTGTAAGCGGCGCAAGCTTGCGACAATAATCCAGCTACGACGCAGTAGCCATCCTCGATATTCAAGCTGGCTCCTTGCAAGCTACAGGCACGGTAAACAGGCCGTCAAATTCCGGAATGACTGTGTTGTAGCTCTGCCCAGCCCAGGCACTGTCGTCAATGTCCGAACCTGTGCAACGATGGCAAGCAGATCTGAAGATTGTCTAAATCAATAAATTGCCCAGTCCTACGCCAGGCTCCAAGCGCACAGGGCTATACTTGCCATCCTGGGGCGGATCCAAGTTGCCTTGGCAGTCTGCACGGTTGATCAACAGCACGCCCGATGGGCGAGACTCCCACAGCCCTCAAGATTTTCAAGATCGGAGGCGTCTCCATCCGGTGAGTCCAAGAACTCCTTCTCACCTCAGCAGGCAGCCGGTCCTGCCTACGTGCCTTACGATTGGGAAAGCACTCGCAGCCGACACTTGAGAGCCGACAGTTGTGGTCACAGTCCCGGCCCTCAAGCGACTCCATCTCACCTTAGGAAGCAGCCGCCAAGCCGACAGATATGTTTCCCCTGCACTTACGTCCCAGACAGCGGCCGCCCGGCTCACCGTCAACATGCACCTCCATCTCGGACACACTCTCCGGCAATGACCCCTCCTCGCCTTAGTTCGAAAGGACAGTCACCACCCCAGACTTGCAGACATGTCCATCATAGCCGGCAAGACTGTCCACAGAACATTTTTAACACTGAGCTCCGACATGGCCCGTGTCATTCGCTTGCTGCACATGCTGCGTAGCTGGCACTCTCTGAACTTCTTAGACGCATGCCCACTAAGCTGCCTGCCATTTGCGCTTTTCCTGGTCTCCAGAGCAATGCTCATAGCACTGAAGTCTTCGAGGCAAGTGCCTAAGTATACGGGGCACCAATTGAGGTTGTGATGAAAGGTGCGCCTTAGCTGCTGACACTGATAGTCGTCCTGCACATCTGCCCACTGGGTGCGTCCGCGACCGCTCCAAGTCAAAGACATCACACTTGGCAAGATTGCGGAAGTCGAGCTGAAACAGGACAGCTTGAAAGCTTACACGGCTGCGAGAAGGCCCGTCAAGAGCCAAGCTGTGTCCTCACACGCGCTACAGTATCTCCGCATTCAATCTGGCCGCCGTGCACACACAACGCCTGAAACAATCGCAACTGCTAAGTGTCAGCGCCGTACACAAGCAGCCCCGGGGGCCCGTTTACATTGCATGTGTAGCGTGCGCGTACACTTCATCCCGAATAGCGCAGAAACTTCCGCTCATCGCCCGTGAGTCGGCTCTGACTTTTCCATCGTAATTAAATTTACGTGTCGCTTCAGTACTGCTGACAGGTCGACCTGCACTGCTAAAAGCTTCCTTCTTCATCTGATGACATCGTGATGATTCTCGTTGGAAAAACCTGCTCCGCTACCACAAGTGTCCCGCGTCGGTGGGCACCTAATCCTTGATGAGAAGATACTCCACTGTGGCAGCAGTCTCTGATGGTCCTGGATCTGTTTCTCAAAGAGAATCTGATCGACCTCATGGTTGGCGCTGTTGTTTGTGGAAACCGACCTGATGGTTGACACTGTTGTTTCTGGAAACCGTGTCACCAAGTGCGCTTTGGTACTCAGCCCTTACCCCCAATAAGGCCACAGAGGTTACATTATAAACAATGACAAGATACACAAATCTCTATACACGCACACATATACATGTGACTGTGCTCATATCTAGGTCTGAAGAAATGTTCTTCTGTGCGTGTGGTTCAGCTCTCGCGCTTGCACGCAGTCTGCCTGCAAAGTCATATGTGCATTATCTTCTTACACTGCGCGCAAGCCATGAGCCTCGTGCAAGCCCAAAAGGGCAACTATACAGAAGTGGGCCGATTCACTTTGCATGTGGCAGCCAGGCACATTGCTTGGTGCGAAAGTTCCAAAGGTAGATGAAGTTCTGGTCGGAACCTTGGATAGTCGGCACGAGCACACACAAAAGGCTATTGGTAATGGTAAACTACACCGGAAAAAAAGGCAATGTGCCAAAAGAGAAGAGAAAAGGCCTGTCTATTCAGCACCCTCAACGGAAACTTTCACCTGACATCCAATCCTTGCAAACTTGAAAGTAAGGAAAACAGAATGCAGCTGCATCCAAAATGCGTGACTGCACAGCCAGCCAATCTGGCCCCAAAGCTCGAGCCAACTCCAGTGGCATAGTTGGTGACAGCGCAGGCCTCATCGTCGGCTCCACAGGCTCCGGCGACAGCACCTGCTCCATGGGACTCGCGTGCGCTCGCTCGACCTGCGTGGCCACACTCTGCGCCGAAGCCGAGCGTAGAATAGGCCGCGGCTGCGGCTGGAAGTACGGGTGGCTCGATCTGTGTTCTTAGTTCGCACTGTCATGGCTCACATTTCGCGGGCATGCAATCCAACCGTCTTGACACAACGCTGTGTGTCAAAGTCACCACGACAGCAAACCAGAAAGGGCGCAGTTAGGTTGCGCATTCTAGGTTGAAACCGCCTGGTGTTCCCCACAAACGTATCTCAAACAGGGGGGGTTTCATTACGTGCAAAACAAGGTAGGAACTCACTAAGTCTCTGTGACTCCCTATCGGTCCTTGCACCTGGGGCACACCATGCCTCATGCCTGGAAAAAAACAAGAACTGACGATTCGTATGGAAATCCAGGCACCTCTCGGAAATAGCCTCTGAAATTCCCAACAAACAGATAACACTATTTTTGCACACGGCTTGTCATAGACGCCCGATATGTTTCGTGCGTTTCTTGGGAACCACAAGGCTGAGGCTGCCTTGATTTAGGAGCTTCCATACCAGGCCACTTGGAGGGAGCGGCGCCCACGCAACCCCACGAGGCTGCACGATGTGCGCCCCCGCAACCCGAGGCTGCACGATCCGTGGCCGTGGGGGAATCACGGACATGGCTGCCCCGCTGAGCGCTCTAAGTCCAGAGCCCAAAATCTTTTCAGAGAAGAGCCAACCAACGGAACGACTTTCCATTCTATGACATCATTCTCTTCCCTGGAACAGGTTCCTAAAGAAATATGAAAGGGATTCGACACACATTGCGCCAAAAACCCCTCCTGCGATTGGAAACAACATCGACATCCATCGAACACGGAAGAAGAAAAAACTGCATGTCAGGACAGACCCACAAACCAGTGAATGATATCTCTTCATATCCCTCTAGTTCCTTGAGAAATCTAGAGGATGTCCGGGACCTCGCAAGCTGCCCGTTGCTGCTTGTATTCGAACCACTGAAGTTCATGAACTGAGTTGCTGGAATGATTCGTATGCTTGAACACCATGGGGTCTGAACTTACAAGTTCGACTGACCAGGGTGGGAAGCCGAATTAAGACCTACCTATTCCTATCCCTGTATTTACTGGAGCCTAACTAAGACGCACATATTCCTACCCCGCCAAGTACTTGGGTATAGCTACAACTAAGATCTATCTATTACTATCCCTCCAAGTACTCGAGCCTAGCTAAGATCTGTCTGCTCCCACTCCTGCAATTGTGTGAGCGCAACTGGGATTTATCGATTCCTATCCCCCGACTTGCTTGAGCGATCTAGAGGATGTCCGGGACCTTGCAAGCTGCGTTGCTGTTTGTACTCGGACCGAAACCGATGAACTGGTGTGCTGAAATGCATATAATGATTGGACAACATAGGGTCTGAATTCACCAGTTATATTATTTAAATAGGAAGCCTAGCTAAGATCTACCTATTCCTATCGAGCCTAACTAAGATCTATCTATTGCAAAAGTAAAGTAAATTAATTGACTTATTGAAGATATTGAAATTGGCAAATGGGGACTTGAAAATATAGCTCGCACGCTACGCGGTGCTGTTTGTATTCGAACCACTGAAGTTCATGAACTGAGTTGCTGCAATGATTTGTGTGCTTGAACACAATGGTGCCTAAACTTACAAGTTCTACCTACCTATTCCTATCCCTCTATTTACTGGAGCCCAACTAAGATGCACATATTCCTACCCCGCCAAGTACTTGAGTATAACTACAATCTTGCTATTGGAAGCCTAACTAAGATCTATGTATTATTATCCCTCCAAGTACTGAAGCCTAACGAAGATCTGTTTGTTCCAATTCCTGCAATTGTGTGAGCGCAACTGGGATTTATCGATTCCTATCCCCCGACTTGCTTGAGCGATCTAGAGGATGTCCGGGACCTTGCAAGCTGCGTTGCTGTTTGTACTCGGACCGAAACCGATGAACTGGTGTGCTGAAATGCATAAAAAGATTGTACAACATAGGGTCTGAATGCTCCAGTTACATTAATTCGAATCGGGCAGCTCCAGCGGCACCTGGCCACCATTTCACTAGTTCAAATAATTCAAATATGAGAAAAATACTTAAATGATT